AAGTTTTTATAACACAACACTTCACAGAATCACAGAATGGTTGAGATTGGAAGGGACCTCTGGAGATCATCTAGTCCAACCCCCCTGCTCAAGCAGGGGCCTCTAGAGCATATTGCCCAGCATCGCATCCAGACGGGTTTTGAATATCTCCAGGGAAGGAGACTCCACTATCTCTCGGGGCAACCTGTTCCAATGCTCAGTCACCCTCCCAGTCAAGAAGTTTTTCCTCATGTTCGGATGGAACTTCCTGTGGTTCAGTTTCTGCCCGTTGCCTCTTGTCCTGTTGCTGGGCACCACAGAGAAGAGGCTGGCCCCATCCTCTTGACATCCTCCCTTCAGATACTTGTACACATGTTCACTTAACGTTTTTATTAATAATGTTATTGCTTTGCCATAAGTTATTTTTTCTTGATGTATATATTTTGTGATACTTATAACTTCTGCTTTCTTGATGCTCTTCTCTCCAAGAGTTTGTTGCTGAGAACATTTCTCTCTTAATATTCCAAATGAGGTTTTCTCCATTCCTTTCTCAAATCTTTTGATTTTCCTTTTTTTTTCTTAGCATAGTAACTTTTTTTTTACCCTGCAAGACCATTTCATCTTTCCCTCTATTTTTTCCTAGAGTCTTGCTCCATTGTGTGTGTTCATGATAGAGTGTAAAAGTGAGAAAGTACAACTACCCTGTGTCTCACTCCATACCTCCTTCTTCAAGTGGAACAGCCTTCTAGGCAATGAATATAGAAATTAAAAAGAAAAAGGTTGGGAGTGGTCTAGAATCCCTTCACAGGCACAGACGATTTCTCTCCATCTCTCCTTTGTTTAATCCACTCTCCTCCTTCCTTGTCTCGCTTTCTTGACTTCCTTGATTTTGTGAAAGGTGCTGTTTTGTCCCAATCGCTGTATTTCAAATGTCCTACCCCAAGATGTTCTTCAGTACTAAGACTACCTTTATCCTGTCTTTTTCTGTAGAATAGTGTTCAGATTAAGTTGACAGCTCTATGGCTGTTAGCAACAAATCTGCCTCTTATACGTACAGATCTACTTAATTATTTACAGAGCATTGTATAAGCTTGATAATGGAACCAATTGGAAAGAAGATGTCCAAAGAAAACCTGAGTATCGTTATTCTTTCAGTGATAAATCACCTGTTATGCATACTTCAGGACAGAGCAAATACCATGAGAATCCAAAGTACCAGGCCCATGGCTTCCCAGATCAGTTCAATTATATATTATAGTATATATGTTGTAGATGTTTTATGTGTTTAGCAGATCTTTAGCACTTCAGATATAAACCACTGTGATGAGGTAATCATGCACTAAAAAGACCAAAGGATTGGTAAATACTGCAACGTCTTGTTTGTGCAGATAGATAGTTATTTATGCCTGTGTGGCTGTCTGTTTGAGTAAGATGGACACGTTCATGTTTGCATGAAATTAAGTGCTAAGACTTTGGAAATCTGGCTCATAATCTGTAGTAAAATGTATTAATAACAGACCATGCTAAGCACTGCTGAGTCTAGTGCAAACTGAGATATGTTTTTACAAAACACTTTTTTTTTTTTTAAAAAAAGCAAGACCTGAATAAAATTAGCGAGGTTAAAATAAGTAATTGGGGAGAGACAGTAGTGTATAATGTAACACTGCTAAAATTAGTTGTTCTAGGCTAATGTCATTGTTGTACCTTCCTGATCCTTGGTATCTTTTTTTTTTTGTTTGAAACATCGTGTATGTCCTATTCTGCCTCTCTGTTATTTTGCCTTATTCATGTTTTGTTCTTATTATACAAAGCGTGCAGATGAAAAATAGTATGTGATATGGAAACACATGCCAACACTGTTACTTTTGTGTTTTTATTCTTCTTTAATGTTCGTCCTCTTTTTCCCCCTGCTTGTCGTCTTAAAAAAAAATTAGCTCCCCCTACCTGCCATGTTCTGAGTGAGTTTGGAAGGGCACACTGTGTTGCGTTATCAAAAAGTGACAACTAGATGTGAAGAACTATATATTTTAGGGTGAAAGTTGTGTAATTAGAACAGATAAAATCAAGAAAAGGATATTGAGAATAGCGTAGTCCTTCTGATAACGATGGTGGCAAGGTTGTAACAGTGCGTTGCTGGTTTTGAACAAGCTCAAGGGGACTGATTTTCTTGGTCCAACACTAGTGACCAGCTTCTAGAACAAACTGTGCTGCAGTCATAGGTGTTCTTGTTTATTGTATTTGTGTGGCTTAAGATGTCCTTGCTTCTTGGTTTACAAGTCTTGCCTCTTTCAGTCAAGACAGAATTGCTTAAAGCTACTTTTCACTTTCAGAAGGTTTTTTTTTTAGTATAAATTTAGAACAGCTCTGGTGAATTACTACTGAAGGTATTTTAAGCTTAAAAATGGTTTAGGAGCACACAGTTACCATCTTACAGATAAGATACAGTAACTTATTTGCATGGTTCAAATTTGACTAACATATGTTTGAGACTACTCTCTAGACACCCCATTAAGATGCTTCTAAAGACCAGCAAGGCTGGGTTGTCATATGGGAACAGTCTATCGCATTAGTTAGCGTTTCCATCCCAGATGGAACCAGAGAGCTAGCAGAGATGTTTCTTTCTTATTTTCTCTTAATGGTTACATTCTCATTTTAGTATAAGATTTAGCCTGAATATTTAAGGGCTGAAGTCCATTCCGGCTAGTTGTACATGCTAGACACCTACAGTCAAGCAAAATCCAAAATTTACTGCTTAGCCAGGGAAGAATACACCTTCTAGCCTGCTTACTGCCTCCCAGCCCACAAAGGACGTAGAAACTCACAAAACTTGGTATTATGGTAGCTCTAATTGTAACACTGACTGTGGGCTCAATTAGGACAGGTACTAGAGCATCGGGAGCACGTCAGAGAATGAATGCAGGAGAAAATCAAATCAGTGAACCCAGCAAAGTTTATGCCTTGTCCCAGATTTTCTAAACGTGCCCACGGTCTTTAATTTTGTCTCACAGTTTGTATAGTCTGTCAGGTGAAAAACATCATCAGTAGTCTTAAAAGCCATCACCCTGCAGGAAGTGAGTACTGCATCCTAGCTTACACGCTCCAAATAAGCACAGATCCTGCAGCAGAAACAGTAAAACCAAGAGACCAGCCATCCCAGGATTTGAAGCTGCCTGGAGCACAAACAGGAATCAGTAATTCAACAAAATGTGCTACAAAGTAATGCGTTAAGTTTTCTTGAGGGTTGTTTGTTTGTTTGTTTGTTTGTTTTTCTTCTACCAGGAGTGATATAATTAAATTAAAAGTGAGTGCCAGAAGAGTCTATAATAGACTTTTATAGGATAAGCTATTTCTTAGCTAAAGAGGAAAGAAAAACTAAGCTCAGAATAAGAAAAAGAGCTTTTCGTTATAACATAATGTGATTTTCTAGAAATGATGTCTGTATGACTTCCGATGGTTTAATTTCTGCCCCAGAGATCAGTTCTATTGGCAATATAATAGCAGTCCATAGTGTTTTTTGTTTTTTTTTAAATGAAAAATACCATACTTGAAATATTTCTAAAAAGCTATTACGTAATGTGAGAACTGGTCAGTGTAAGGGGGCAAAGGCCAGGTGGGAACGTGAAAATGAGAGTGAGAAAATAACCTATGGGATATTATGGGGTGGACAGATTGTGATAAAATTCCAGCTGCTTTCAACAAGTTACTGCTTGTCAGCTGACCTCTAGTAGTTAGCCATGTGCATGTATTAAGTCTACCCCAGCTGGAAGGTAGAACATGTTAATCTGAACTTCATACAGTGGACTTGTGCCCTTAATTTAAAACACGTGAATGGCAGAATTGACCTGGATGCAGTGTTAGTGCACTGTTCCTGTAGCAAGATAGAGGCATAGGAGTCGGGTGAGTTGTTCAGGGTTGTCTTAACAGGCAGCAGAAGAGCCAGAAGTAAAATTCAGTTCTCTTGAGTGGCTCTACTTTCTGTTTTAAAAACCATGAAAGTGAGCCTGACGGTAAGTTTAGTCTGTTAATACTTTTTTTTGCAGCAAAGCACTAAGAATATGGAAGTGCATCTCCCAGATATGACATTTGTGTCTGTGGGGTTTTTTTCCTGCTCTCCCTGATTACTTGGGTAGCTATAGTGAAGCTTCTTGGAAAAAATGACCTTGTCCCAAGATGTGAAGATAAATGTGGCAGAATGCATGAACTTGATGTGGTATACACAGTGGGGATCCAGCTTCTTTGTCTTAGGCTGATTTAATTCTGTAGATTTGTTTCAGAGTAACTCAGTTTGCATTTTGGCTCTCTGCCTTTTTTTTTAAAATTCATATTGAATTTCAGAGGGGAACCTGAAATTTTAAATTTGGGAGTGATTTACTGAGAGTGCCTTAGGCAGGGAGCTGGTTTGTTTTGCTTGTTTTATCTTCCATGCTCTGTTTAAATAACTGTTGCCAGTGTGAAGTTACTAGCAGTGACACTCGTAAAGATGAGGCTACTGTCAAGACTAGTGCCCAGCAGTCCTGTGGTCACGTTCCCTGTTTGCCTTGCAGTTCTGTGTTCTAGGGGAAGCTGCTGCCTCTCATACTAGCTCTGTGGCTTTTACATTGTTCTCTTACTACACAATTGTATAGTTGCGGCTGATGGAATCTTGGTATGGGGGTGCGGTGTGCGTGTTTTTAGTAAGGAGAGGAAGAGGTCCCATAAGCAACATGAAGATACATAAAAGGCATATTGCTGTTTATGATGTCTAGATGCCTACCTGGAGAGGAGAGAGCTTAGGAACAAAGTAAGACTGAAATTCTGCTCAACTCTGAAATAAGATAAGAGTATGGAAGTGGAAGGATTTAAATGGGGAGGGCAGCTGTTATAGCCCCCAGTTGTACATATTTTATCCTGAGGCACCATTTGGTTTAATAAAATTTAGATCTAAGGCTGTCCTTAACCTATCAGTTTCTTAAAGCTTAATTGTAAAGGTTATACTTTCAAAGGACAAAAGCGTTATTCATTTGTCTGTTCATGTCTTCCAGGTTTATCTTGCAGATTATGGACTTTCCTACAGATATTGTCCCAATGGGAACCACAAACAGTATCAAGAAAATCCTAGGAAGGGCCATAATGGGACAATAGAGTTTACCAGCTTAGATGCCCACAAGGGAGTAGGTAGGTTTCTTTTCTTTTCTTTTCTTTTACTTCACTTCAGAGGAGTGATTACAGAATGAGTAATCAGGCTGTGCGAGCTATACAACAGAAGCAGTCATGGGGATTGCTCAGGGTTGATCCGACCCTTGGGTGGTGATCTCTTCTTGTACCTAGCAACGTTTCGTTGGTGCTAGTGGGGGGAGCACGATTAAAACTGAAAGGCTACTGCATGTCTGGTACTGAAAGAGAGACAAAGATGACTTAAGAGAAGCTTACCTTTACACTTGATTGATTTATGTTGGGAGTACTGGTTTGTATTTGCTGTACTCTGTAGAGACAGAGGCAACGTTTGTTCCTGTTGCGTTGTCAAAGAAAAACGTTACAAGTCCATGAAGAGGCCTTTATGGAGATCTGTATCTGAATGTCACCATCCATGTTATCGAAGGATATTTCAAGATGGCATTCCTTCTGCAAGGAGAAAACCTCTTTTGAAGCCATAAAGTGTTAACTTTTGAAATCTTTTTCCGGTAGCCTTTCATATATCTCACTTATTTAAACTCACTTTGATGGTATTGGAAACACATTTGCAGGTAAATTACATACATAGTCCTTTTATTGGATATTGATTATACTGCCTTACATTCCAAGGCAGACTTAATTCAACAATTCCCTAATTAGTTAAAGTCATAACCTATGTCTTGTATTCATTTACCATTAATTAAACCTTAGCTGTTTATTACACTGCAGTCCAAATCCAATAGCAGACCCACAGAGCCATGGAAAAGGGAATGGGAGGTCAATATCGAAAATATATGGTGCAGAGTCCCACTGATGGCTGCATTGTTCACAATCAATATGGTCAATGCAACGCAACTTTCTTAGTTGCTATGTCAGCAAGACAAAAAGTCAATTCTAATGTTATGCCAGTGAAAAAATGGCGATTATTGAAAAACTTTGACTCTTAATACGAAACAGTGTTTTTGTTAACTTTTCTTTACCTTTACCCTCCCCCTCAAGATCTCCTAAAACAAAAGGAATGGTTTTATGTTGCCGGTTTTATGTTGCTAAGAGCACCGTGTCACAAGTGATAACTACAGAAATTTGTGCTTGTTAATAGCTGCTGAACTGTTACCTTAGACTAATACTTTCTAACGAGTTTTAGTTGGCACAAACAACTGTATATTATTGCTTTTTCTATTAAAAGGACCATTGACCATGTAATGTAGAGGGTCTTGATAATTTGCCGGCGCTGTTAAAACCTGCAGTCGTTTAAACTCTGGTCATTAGGAAAAATGAAATAAGACTGTCAAGTATTTGCCACTAAGACAATTGCATGATTTCACCTGCTAAAAAATGTTTTGTGGTGAAGAGGACATCTGATTCAGCCTCTTCTAGATCACCCAAGCATATAGTGCGTTTTCTGGAGATCTGACTCTGGCTGTTTTTCCTGGTAGCGTGAGACATGTGGCTAAGTACTAGTATTTTATGTAGGTGCTGTTGGAAGAATAGCTAGAGGTATGTGTATTTGGGATTCATCAATTGGATAGACACAACAATTAATTTGCCTAGTGGATGTGTAGCGTGCAAGCTAGTAGCATGCAAGTGTGAATGAAGTTGTTGTCTTTAGCAAACTGTGGGTTAGATTACCCCCTCAAGTGGCTGAAGTCGTGGCTGAATTGGTAAAAAGTGGAGGACTTCAGAAAAGAAAATATTCAGAAAGGTAGCTTGAGTGAGTTTACGCCAATCTCAGAACTGAAAAACTTATGATTGTTAATAGCTGCAGAGAGAAAAATCTCCAGATTATCTGTTGCTCCTGACAGAAAAGCCTGCAGAACATGATGTGAAACCTGGCCTGTTGCAGAGAATCCAAAGCATTCACGCTGAATGCCTCAGCTCGAGCTCCAGCTTTGTAACAGCCTGAATCCATTAAGGTCAAATTACCAGAGTTTCCCATTTGCAACAAGTCTCAGTATCCCAGGGAAAACATGCATCTGCGTTAAGTTCTGTGAGAGATTCTGCAGATCTAGATGGCAAAACACAGTGACTCTTTTCCTTCATCTTTTGTTGCGAGGTGTAGAGTTGTTGAGATGTTTAAAGACATTAGGACACTGCAAGTTTTCCACCCGTTGGGGCAAAGGTCTTTGCGCAACAGTCTCTTGAATTCCCGATTCATGATTGATTCTCTCAGCACAGTCTGTCATCTACAAAGTGTGGTGGGGTGCTCTTCTGAAAAGTATTTAAAGACTGCATTGAGAACCTTAATTGTGGTGTTACTCAATTTTTCAGGGTAGAATATTTTTGTATTTTAATGCTTTTTGAATATAGTTTAAGTTATTTTACATAGATGAGATCCTCTCCGCGGGGCTTTTCTTGAGTGTATGGAGTGACATAAATATGTCTCAACCCACAAAATCCCTGAATAGTACCATTTGTTGTATTGAGCTAGACAAATGAGAACACTGTAACTTGCTTTGTTTTCTATTTATAAAGTAGCTACCTGAATATATAGTTATTTGAGATTCATGCTGAAACTTAAAACAAAATTATGAATCTGTTGCTTTCCAAAGTGCTTCTTGGTGATGCTTGAGGTGGATAACCTCCTTCCATAAAGCCAATCAAATGTAACCAATTCCCACTAATTTAAATGAACACTGGTGTTTCACTAGTTGAATTGAGAGATTAACCCAGCTGCATACCTATTCATTCCCCAAGCTCTCTGTGGAGCTCCTCAATTGTAGAGGCTACATAGTCCCCTGAGATCCAGGACGTTTCCTCGCATGGACACTGCATCACAGCGCTCTCGGTGGTAGAATTAGTAGTCTGCGTTCTTCTTACAGTCTCTGGTAAGGGCCGAGTTGGACGTGCTGTTCTTAGGGCAGCCAATTGTGAATCAGTGTCTTCAAACAAGTTAGCTTAATGCATGCTGATGGCAATTGATGGTCTTGGTGGTTTGGACTTTTTTCTGGAACTGTAGAGGAATTCTCCCTGACTTAGGAAAAGCTGGGAGCAGCTGCCCTGCCTTGTATCTTGGCTCTTCATGCTGATTTTTTTTTTTTTTGAGTTTTTTAAGTTTTGCACAGTCCATTTGCACTCTGTTCCGTGTGGGGGGGCTCTGAAGGCTGCCGCAGTGCTTCTTGGAGGCTTCCAGACTTGTCAAGTATTTGCAAGAATTCACTGTTTCTTGCAAATTTTCTCAGTTACACCCCCTGTCTTTATCCAGTGTTAATTTTGAACCAAGTCATGGAGCAAGTGAAGGCTTTGCCACCAGATCTGGCCACACCATCAGCTCTCTTACATTCAGTGACTGGATTTCTTTGCAGTCTAGCGTGCGGCTGGTAAGGGGCACTGAACAAGGTAACACTTTACAGGGGATTTTTAATTAAAACTCATTTTACTTTGATGCAAATTCCGTATGACACGCAACTTCGTTGTTAGTTTTAACATAGCATTTAAGTGTATGAGTATAACCTCGTATTCATTTTTAAAGACCATACTGTATAAATAGTATTACATTTTTGTTTTTTGCTTGGTAGTTAAAGAGAATTATATCTGCACCCAGTATACATTTAAAAAATTGTTACATAGTGTTAAAAAAAATATTTGGATCAATGCATTTTATGGATTTTTGCAGATTTTCTACTCACTGAGGCATGCAGTCAATACCTAATTTCTCTGGAGATACACTGCACTTAACATATTGAGTTTTTTTTAAATACTCTAGTCCTGTGCATTGAGTGCATAAGACCAGTTTTAATTTGCTGTCATTGATGAACATAAGAGTATGAACTATCTGTGTTGAATTCCCTCCAACATATATTTTTTGTTTGCCATATATTTCAAGATAATTCTCCTCTTCCTTTTAACAAACATGTTTCATAATAACTGCTGGCAGTTTGGTTGTCTGTTGCAGTGGGTAGTGAACCTGCCTAAATTCTTGCAGAACTGACATATATGTTTAGAATAATAAAAGCTACTTAAGGTACTGGGGTGATTTTTGGCAGGCTTAGGGGTGCGTAGAACATCTGACAGTTTGCATCAATTAGTGCCAACCACTGGTTGTCGTGCCTTTTTTTTTTTTTTTTTTTGTTAATGAGGAAGTTTCCTCCCAAGCTGGTTTCATTGAACAAAAGTTTGTGGTTTTTTTCTTTTTCTTTTTCCCTTATGCTCTTTTTTCAGGCAAGACAGGTGCAGCTGTCTTTGATACAACCTATTGGCAAGCGCTTTGTGCCCTTCACACTGAGTTGTTGCAGTATGTGCTCCTTGAGGTCCATCAGAATGCTTGCACACCATGTTTGTACTGCACAGTGCAGGCATCAGGCTGATCGCTGGGAAAGCTGTGCAGTTTTTGTTCTTGTTTTCCCTGCTGCTCTAACAGAACCGTTGCCTTTTGACATTAAAAACATAGCTCAGTGCTTATCCATTTTTCTGTTTCTTTTACTTGCAGAGGTTGACTAGAATATGTGCAGGGTTCGTTTTGTGAGGAAGGTTGTGCAAGAATATTAACACCTGAGCCTGGAAAGAGATTCTTTCTGAACCTACATGTCTTCCAGAGTACTTCAGCTCTAAATGGCTCTAGATCTAGAGGTATATTTGGCGTTTGTCCATGTATATTTAGCAGTCAGAGGGAGCCTGTTGGTGTGTTTTGTTGGTCAAATGAATTATAGATCTGCTGCAGTTTCGTATGTGTTTCCCAAAGGCTGTATGCAGGACAAGTGGTAACCTAAAAATAAAAGGTGAGTGTAATGTGTCATGAAAAATGGGCAGAACTTTGCAGTGCAAAGTAAAAATAAAAAGATGTTTTAGTCTTTGAATGTTGGATGGGTTGGAAATGTGTGCCCATGAGAAGAGGGAGCAGAAAGTTATAGTAAGTGAAAGGAGAGTCAGGCTTTGGGAAGGAGACGGAAGAAGAACAAATAGGTTCTTAAAACTTCCCTGTAAGCTTATTCTGTCGTGCTGAGAATGCATCACAGCTTTCCAGCCCAACTGATAAGTGTTCCTTAGAATTGGCTATTTTCTTTAAT